ACTTCAAAGTGAAACAGATTCCATCTCTGTGCTTCATTTTCTTGACTGTAAAGGGATGAATATGGCATTTAAGAACCACTGGGCAGAAAGGAGTCTGAAGCATCCTCTACAAGAGTGCTAAAATGTCAAATCCTGATAGGGCATCTGCCTGCTTGAAGAAGCAGCCTGGACCATGCTCAGTCTCCCTGAACCAACCTAGGAGACCAGATTCCATCAATGAGCTGCTCCAAAGATGATAGGCATTTGCTTTTTGACTCTGAAGGAAGGTAAATGCTGTTTAACAGCAGCACCCCAACAGCTTAAGCAGAAAAACTCCATTTTGTCAGCAGTGACATTTCATCAAATCACAAAGATGCAGAATTTTGTGATGGAGCCACTTGCAGATCAGCAGGCACAGGGAAAGCAGCACGTATGTCTGACTCCACAGATGAGCTGCATGTCCTGGCAGGCATAATGTTGGAGGTTCATGAAACATGCTGAGCTCTTGCTAAGAACAGAGGAAGAAGCCTGACGCCTGCCTGTCTGTGTGTACATTTGTATTTGGATTAAGGGGCAAACTTTAACTCCCAACAAGAAAATGGCTTAAGCTCTGCTTCTTAGCACAGATGGCTGGTGCAGAAGGCTCTCCTGCATTGCCTGCAAGTGAACCCTCAGCCTGTCTGTCCACACTACAATACAGCCTGTTGTGATAACATGATGCTGTTGGGTATGTTTGATTTTGTAGGTTCTGGTATGAGCATTGGACTCCCTGGACCGCCTGGGCCTCCGGGATCACCAGGCATATCTTACAGTGAACTGACAGCATACCTGAGAAGTAAGCCAACTTCTTGATCCCTGATACAGGTTCCTACACACTCACAGGATCTTTTTACAGGCTTTTTACTGCCACCATCCCTTACCTGCAAATGACTCATTTCTAAGTGCAGAACTTCCCCCTTGGGCTGTCACCACAGATAACCCTCTATATGTCTCCAGTGATCACCTCTGCCTTAGGAGCAGCACTGTGCTCTGCTAGGAGCTGTAGAAACAGTGAGTGGCTGCAGACAGATCCTGAGATCTTGTGGAGAGTGGTAGCATACAAGAGCTTCTTATGTCACTTTTTAAAAGTGGTTCCATATTTGAAAATATGGACTTTGACACTCTTTGGGGTCTTCTGACTTCCATGTATGACATCTCAATTCAAGGAAGTGAGATGTTCTAGGAAGGCTGTGCTAGGAACTGGGGAGAAAAAAGTATCTCATGCTTGGTTTTAGTTGGCATTATCTGTATTGTCAGGAAAGTTCATCAGGATTGCAGTGGTTTTGATAACATCTCTTTCCTTGTGTCTTGCAGATTCTGAATTCAGTGGTCTTGTTGGACCCCCTGGGCCTGCAGGGCCTCCAGGACCTCCAGGGATCCCTGGATCATCTGGCACCTCTCTGGAGGACATCTCTGCTTACCTACAAAGTAAAGCACCTGCTTTTCTCAGCTGGCAGGGAGATTTTGATTAGAGGTGCTGGAGGTACTGGGCCTGAGATTTAGCTTATTAGGGCCTCTGACTGCTCACTGGGAACAAGGTCACTTAAAATCTCATCAACATCAGCTGAAAAGGGTTGGAGCCTTTAAACTTTTAAGATTCCTATCCACATGTCCTGGTTTTATCAGTATTACATATCACAACATTTTCCTTCTTGCTGAAAGGGGCATTTCTCCCCCCATCTCTTTCCGGTTGTGCTTGAAACTGCTTCACCATGCAATGTCCTTGTTCTCTCACTGTCAAAATCATTCTTTTATCTCTCAAGGTGTTGGATACTCTTCTATCTCTGGCCTCCAGGGCCCACCTGGCCCTCCTGGCCCTCCAGGACCACCAGGCTTCTCAGGAACCGGCCTCCTGTCCTATGCTGACATCACCCACAGTGATGAGTTCAGGAGTGAGCTGATCCAGTACCTGAAGAGTAAGGAAACACTGTCCATCCCTTCTGCACATGTCCCTAGCTATGCTTTGCCTTGTGTAGACTGCTGGCTCTGCTGCAGCTGAGACAGCCTTTCCTGAAGAAGTGATGGAGCAACACTTCATTCCTACAGGCTTACTGCTTATCCCAGTACTCACCTTACAGGCTGTAGAGAGACCACAGTTCACTCTAGGCAGATCTCCTCTCAGTCCAACCTGAAGACCGAAGTCCAGGTTGTGAGCCTAAATGAACAAGCACTGTGCAGTTAAAAATGACCTGTACTGAGCAATGAGTTGTTAGTGAAGTCATTTGCAGACCTTTGCTATTGGAAAAGTGTTCTCTTTGGTGAACATCTTCCTACAGAGCAAAGGATGATGTGAAATTTGGAGGGCAGCGTTGAGCCTGTTGTGAGCAGCATCAGTCTGGGCTCTCATGTTGGCAAGTCATCCAGGGGAGCCTCTCAACAACAAGAGAATGGCTTATTTTTGAGAGACTGGTCACAGAATGCTGCTCAACAGAGGTGCTGTGCTTGGCCTGAGAGGAGTGCATCCTTCTGCAGTCATTGTGCAGGTTTCCACGGTGAGGCACCCAAAACTGTGGGAGAGATGGGGGCAGAGGAAGGTGTCAGGCCTCAGTTTTCCCATCTGTAGAGATCCAGGTTGAGATATGTGCCTGTTGCCTGAAGCATGGCAGTGGATGAGGGTTACTGCAGTGATTGTCTGGAGAATTTCACACTCGTCTTCATTCAGATTGTAGCACATGACATTTGTGGAGCCTGGGGGCTCTGGTACCCCAGTGTCCCTGATATCCTCTCAGTGCCTCTTGTATTTTTGCAGGTGATGAAGTTCGAAGCTATATCTCAGGGCCGCCTGGGCCCCCTGGGCCACGGGGACCACCAGGACCCAAAGGAGATAGTGGTTTGGTGGCTGGGTCTATGTCTTCATTATACCATGATTCACTGGCTTCTGAGCGGTTGCATGGAGGATCCATTGGTGCTGAGGGATCCCATGGGGGATCACTTGGCACAGGCAGCTCTTACAGCAGCTCCATGAGCAGCAGCATGTCATCATACAGTGCCTCCATGGGCAACGATGGCTCTTATGGTGCATCCATGGGCAGTGATGGGTCGTTTGATGGGCTGCTGACAGCTGAGGAGTCACACAGGAGATCGGCAGGTCCAGGCAGATCTTATAGCAACTCCTTTACTGGATCCCTGGATTACAGTGAGCTGGCTCGACATGTGTCAGAGAACCTACAAAGTGAGTGTGATGTTTTTTTTTTTCCTGAGCCTTCCTCTTTTGGCACATAACTCCCAGCTCCCTATGCATGCTGTTACCTGTTCACTTCCCTTGCCCTTCCTGCTCCCTGTAGTTTTCCCTTACATTCTCTTGCCCTACCATCCAGCACCAACTCCTTTCAAACAATGTCTTTATTTCTTCAGGCCAAGGTATCCTCCAGGACTTGATGTCTTACACTGGACAGGGGCCTCCAGGCCCTCCAGGACCTCCAGGACCTCCTGGAATAAGCAGAGTCTTTGCAGCCTATGGTAATGTCACTGAGGATCTCATGGACTTCTTCAGAAGTAAGTAACATGTTGACCTGATGTTTCTAGCTCATGCATATGAGGTCTCTCCAGCCTCTTGTGGAGCTAATGATCCTTTTACTTTTGCATGCCTTAGAAGTACATTCAAGATACAAAGTTGGAGGCAGATCCCTCTTCCTCCTTTACTGGGGACGTGCAGTCTTATCATTAGGAAGGACATCAAGTTTTTCCACTACATGTGGAAATTCACTCCAAACCTTAAGGCCACTGAACTTGCAGCCCCTGGGCTCATTTTAAACTGGTTGGACTGGCACACGTACAGCAGAAGAAGAGAGCTGCTCACTGCTCTCAAAGTCCCCTCTAAGCAGGGACCAGCTCCAGCACAGGTGACAGGCAGGATGCTTGAGCTGGCTGGCAGAGCAGCGCTGGTGAGATGAGATCTCAGCCTGCACCAGGTCTATTGGAAATGAAAATATTTGAAAAATCTGCTCCTGCTCAGTCTAGTCCCATTTAACCCAGAGCAGTGTCCTTCCAGTGTGACTCACTGCTTCTCTAAGTGAACACACACAGCCCTTTGCAGGTGGTTTATCCTACTCACTCATGCTCTGTTTTCCTCTCCAGCACATGGTACTGTCCGGGGACCACCTGGTGAGAAAGGAGAGCGGGGTTATCCCGGCCCCAAAGGTAAGGCTTGCCATCCTTTCTCTCTCAAGCCCTGTAATGCCAGTAACTTCTTGCTGCCCAGGAAGCAGCACTGTGACCAAAGGGATAGTTGGAACCAGGCTGCTCTTAAGGTCAGAGCCTCCATGTAGTGAAGGTGGTGCCTTTACGATCTCAGCCCGAGCAGCAGCCTAATTTGGTCTTCCTTACCCTGACCTATCCCAATCACGCTCATGGACACGCTTGTTTTTCTCATTCCTTCAGGTGACCCTGGGCCGATGGGCCCACCAGGACGCCATGGGCACAGGGGACCAAAAGGAGAGAAAGGCGAGAAAGGTATGGACATCTGCCATCCCCAGGGGGAGCTGGGTCAGGGCTTGGAGTGTTCCCTGGCCACCAGCCCATCTGTGGGAAATACTGACACAGCATGGGTTGGTTTTCTTGGTTGTTTTACGGAGTAGTGTTTTTTGTCTTGTTTTTTCTCTACATGAATTCTATAAATAGTCCTCCTTTTGACTTTCTCCTTGTCCCCAGGTGAACAAGTGTATGGTGGCAGAAGGAAAAGAAGAAGTGTTGGGGTTTAAGGGAAGAGCAAAGTCAGTTCTGCACCAGGCAGCATCCCTAGCAGCTCAGAGATTTCATGTGGATCTTCACTGCCTTACTGCTAAAATGTCCTTGCCAGTCAGCTAAGTACTTAGACTTGATAGTTCAGTGTTTCTGCTGAGATCTGAATGGCTCTTTTACATATGTCCAGTGTTGCTCTAGTGTGGATGTTTCCTCCTGTTGCAAATGTGTGGCCCCTGAGCCCCTGAGTTTGTGTTTTTGTGCTGACAAGGTCTTCCTACCCCTCTCAGTCCAGTCTTGTATTATTTCCAGCTACATAAAAACTTGTTTTAAACAACAAGCCACGTATCCAGCAAAAAAAAAAAAAAGTCCTCTGCATACCAAACGAGTTGTAAGACTCAGACCAAAAGCCCTGCAGGAAGTGCCAGGACTGAGCTTCCTGAGCACATCGCTGTGCTGGCTGTAGTGGGGAGGCTGGTGCATCAGGTGCTGGTGGCTGGGGCTGGGAGTGCTTTCAGATCTCTGGGGTCAGCACTTGTTGTCACCCCACCAGTGACCCATTTTGGAAGTAGCTCCCTTCCAGCTCAATTTTTCAGTGCTCTGGCACTCAAGATGTATTAACCTCGCTCCCAAGCCTGAGTCCTTTGTCAAAGTCCTGTTACAGATCAGGCTGTGGCAGCACGCAGGGCACAGCACATGCAAATACTCTGCAGGGAGTGTGGGCCTCTTGTGCTGTGCAGCATGGCCTGCTGTGACATGCACAGGGACAGAACTGAAGCACTTTTCTTAAATGTGATTTGGTGACTTTAAAAAAAAACATTTTTGCATTCTATTTTTGAAACATTAGGAAAAACTTGTTAATGTAAACATCCCAATTAAAGTGTGTTTTATACTCCAAGTTTGCCTATCAGTATTACAGCATAGTCTGCACCTGAGTCACTGTGACTGAGGGCAGGCATGCTGTGGGGTTTGAGTAGCCAGTGGTGGCAGTTTTCCTTCATTCTCATCACCAGTATGCGACCAAGCAGCCAATGCATTGTTTCTTGGGATCTCCAGTTTCCAGTCTTCAGGCGAGTTTGGAACAAGGTTCTATACAAACCTGGTTGGTTTTCAGAGTATAGAGCAGCTTGCAATGTTGGCCCATTAAACTTGTGTCCTTCCGTGTGAATCATACTCTTCACCTGGCTCTGCTGAGACATTTCCTTTCAAATCTGTCTTAAAAACAACCACAGAAAAAACCTCACTTAAATTCATGTTTAAGTGCAGCAGCTGTGATTGTGTTTCAAGCAATGCCAGAGCTCCTCAGCCTGCTGTGATGTGCAAGCCAGGCTGTCAGGCAGAATGAGGTTTGTGTTCAGTCTCTACTCCCACAGTGAGCTATTCCAGCCAGGACCCATGCAACCACGCAAGGTTAAAGGATTTTTTATCCTCACTTAAAAAAAATTACAAATTGTCCTTCTTACTCACTGATCACATGAGTTTTCTGAAAAGAAAACAGAGATCCTCTCAGCAAACTGTGGTTTTTATTGTATTTACAGCAGAATTATTACAATATTCTACAGAAAGCCATGAAATCAAATTAATTTTAAAAACAAGAACAAAAAAAAAAAAACAACCAACAACCAAAACTGTTGTATGGCTGCTACTGCAAGTTCATTTCCATGAGCTAAAGATACAGAGATCCTTTGCCAGTTATTCATCTATCTCATGATTTTTGGTTGCTTCCTGTAAGGCAAAATGACTTAGTTTGTTAACACAAAACATTCAATAAACTTCTGGGACAACGTGAACTTGGAGATGCCCTGGATTTTGAGATTTTATTACACAATAGTACTCTGCTTGGCTTTCTTACAGAGACTGGGGGTATGACAGTTCAGCAGCTCTCTCCTTCTGGTTTCTGTTTTTTCCACCATTCTCAGCCTAGCTGATAATCCATAAGAAAGAGGCTTTACCTAGCATGGAAACTTGAAGAGATGTTGGGAAATGAGAATGTTTTAGGGCTCAGTACCTTCCTTCTGCTTTCAGCACAGTGGAAATAGGTGGACCCTTGCTCATTAGCTGGTTGTAAGCACATTTTAATTAAGAGCTCATCTGCTTTCTCCAGAGTCCCTGACTCTGGAGTTACAGAATGTTGCAGAAAGGGTGAGGACTGAGGTGAGAGGAAGGGGATAGAGAACTAAAAGGTCTGCAAACAATATCCCCTTCCTCACTAGACAAATGCTATTAAGCTTCTTTTTCCCTCCCTTTACCTGTTCTCATCTTCTGTAAGACTGAGAAATGTGTCCAGGCATCCTCAGCTTGTCTGGGAATTAAGGTTAATTCTTCCCAAGCATCATTCTGAATCTGATACGAAGCTGCTATTAGAAGTGAGGGAACAGGAACATGTGTGAACACATCAACACAAGGAAGTTTTTCTTGAGATCCAGAAGTACAGATCATGAAGTAAAATGACAGGATTGTAAATGCTAAGGACTGCATTGGCAGAGAATTATAGGATGCCACAAACAGCTGAACTCTAGTAGATGAGGAAACTGCACAAATCTGTGTTGGGAAGAGTCAGGTTGAGTACCAGCGAAAGGTTCCTCAGCAGAGGGTCATCAGGCACTGGAAGAGGCTCCTACAGCCCAAAGCTGTCAGAGTTTGGCCAGTGCTCTCAGAAACATGGCTTGATTTTGGGGCATAGCTACCAACTCCTGTATTTACAAGGCCTCATCCCAAGAAAGCTAATTTAACGATGAAGAAGAAAAATTGTTAAGTCTAAATCCATCAGAGGCCATGAGCTTGCCAAGAAGATGGCCAACTTTTTTTTTTTTTTAAATCAACTATAAATACAAGAGGACAACCACTATACTGCATTGTACTGCATGCACTTTATTTATTGCCATTATTCGTTTTCCCAGCTATGATGTACAAAGCTGCTCTCAAAGTAATGCCTCCTATTTTATTATGTTGCTTCATGATGTCAGAGGTGGATGTTGGTGGGATGCCAGTAGAAGTTAAATCTCCCCACCAATATTCCATTACAGTTTATTGCCATGTGACAGATGGCAGCAGAGAAGCAGTCTGAGAGAATGGGTCTGACATGGAAGTGTGGCTGAAGCAAAGATGTGTCATTGAGTTCCTCCTTACAGAAAAAATGGCATTGAGTGACATTCATGGAAACCGAATAGTAGATGTGAGCACAGTGAGATGGTGCATTTCAGCAGAGGCAACAGGGAAGACAAGCCCTGTTGTGGGCAGCCATGCAGTTTTGTTTTTTTTTTTATAAGCATGGCATACAGGCTCTTGGTCATTGCTGGTGTAAATGACAGCTAATGGTGGTGACTATATTAGGAATTTGCTTTATCAAATAGAGCTGTATCTCTTGTAGTTTCTATGGAAATAAATGAGAGGCATTATTTTCAGAGCAGCCAGCATAGTAAAACAAAGTTGATCACAAATCAGTATTTGCTCATCTTCTGAAGGGCTTGCAGGAAAAACAAGATCTGCCAAAAACTCAGCAAGCATGTTGTTCTGACTAAGGAAAATACACCCAATTTCCTTTGAGACTGAACTTCTAACGGTTATTAAAGGGATGATGTGATATGATAGTAGAAAGATTGGAGGATTTTATATATTAGAAGAGCTCTGCCAGGCCTCTGTGAGACTAAATTCACTTCAACTGGATTTTCTGACATTGACATAATAGCATACACATCCTCTTTTACATTGCACAATACTGGCAACAACAATTTTATCAATCTAAGTGTGTATCTATGTTAGCTCCTGTTATCCCAGAACAAATGTATTTTCACACCAGACATCAAATCCCAGCACAGGTCACAAGACTACAGTTGCTCACCAGTGCCCTACAACTCCAGCCTGCACCAAGGACTCAGTAAGGCTGCAATCACTACATTCAGTCCCTCCCTCCAACACAGAACTGCTACTTGTTTGTACAGTTTATGCTTGAGATCAGATTGCAGGAGCTTGTGTGAAAAGGATCTTCAAATTAAAGATTTAGACAGAGGTAACTGCTATGCCATTAACAAGTTATCACTGAGACTGCCAGCAATGTAAGAAGATTAACATTTTTCTGAGAATTTAATGTGGATAAAGGCAGAGAGAACCCAGAATGGGAGATCTGCTTGCCACATCTACTCCCCACATAAGTCACTGAGCCTACTGCATACAAAACTGCAAACAAATTCTTAATACAGAGATGAAGATTACCTGCTGATTTTAGTAAGTCAATTTATGACAACGGAGCTTAGAAAGTGAAGGCCAGAAGATATATTTCACCCTACAGAAGAAACAACTTAAAGAACATTGCATTTTGCAATAGATAACATTCTAGAGATATGGTATGTGAATTTACAACAGTACACAATATACTTTTATATAATAAAATGCCAGAAATTAGGGCTAGCTAGTAAAGTAATTAAGCTATCAAAAAGTTACAAAATTTAAATTAAAACATGCATTTTCCAACTGTTGATACTGTGCTGTAAATGTTAAGTGTCTTCATTGAGAAAGCATAGCTTCAGCATCCAAAGATTTCAGCATCCAAGTTTTCAACCGCATCTGATTCAAATCCTATGTTAACTTAAGAGTTCATTCACATGCATCAGTGCTGTTCCCATGAAATGAACACCATATCACGTTCACCAGCCTCACATTTAATGCGAGCTAGCAAAACAAATGTTACAGTTGATGCCCAAAGAGAATAGGAAGTTAGGCCTCAAATAACAAAGTAAATACTATTTTACAAATTTCACACGGCATACCAAAGTACAGCTTACAGTACTGTCTTGATATGACTGCCACCAAAAGGAGTGCAGTAAAAGTGACCTAACACACTTTTATTTCCCTACCAGCTATATAAGAAACATTTCAGACTTTTTTCACTGCAGATCAGTCAGGTAAATAACTTATTGTACATCTATAAACTTGAAAAATAAAAACCATCTATGTTAGTATGTGGCAACACAAAAGCAAAAAAAAACCAAAAAACAAACAAACAAAAAAACCAGCTTCATTGAGAATTTTGTCTATATATTTAACTTAAATCTTTCTATCAAATAAAACAACTAAAGCAACAACAACAAAACAACCAACTTGTAATCAAATCAAGACTGCCATGGTTACCTGTAAAAATGACCACCCACCTCCATGCTCTGATGGAGTTTAAACAAACAGGCTTTGGTAAGAACAGAAAGATGGCTCTACCGTTTCCAGGTACAGTTAGAGAGACCGTGTGCATTTTGCACATTGCTTTCTAAAAAATACATTCTACAGGTTTTCCACTTGTAGAAATAACCACCTGTAATAGGTTGGAAATAAGGAAATTAATAAACCATGTATTTTAAAGTTAGCATTTCTTTCACCTTTACATATTTTAGTGCAAAATATTTTAGGGTGAGGATTTACAACAAAAATGGCAGTAGCAGCAAGAAATCTTCTGTTTTGTACAGTAACAGCAATGCAATGGAGTATTTGTTTTGTTTTTAAATGACAAAACACCACCCTGTCACCAGGATCAGCATACCAAAGTGTTTCAGGCACTGTCTTAATTAAACTAGCACCCCATTTCATTATGGAACTAATGGACAAAACGCACGATGGAGATCAGCTCAATTTAATTTATGCCAGAGGTTTCTTTTTAAAAAAAGTTGCAAAGGCTTTTACTGTTACCAATCGTGTAAGCACAAGGGTTCATTTTTTTGGTTACTGGCATGCTCTGAGTAATCAGTTTCAGTCCTTGCTCTGAGAACACTGCTCAAGACTGTAACATTTTAAACCCCTCAGGCAGTTTCAGTTGTGGAATTCTCTTGTGTAGAAATGAGACTTAAAAACACAGTAGCAGAACTAATATTACACCATTTAAAAATCCACATAAACATTTTTTTGTGATAAGAAATATTACAATTCTTGTTCTAGACTTACTTTCTTAAAGTCAAAACCATAGATAACTTACTTGAGACCGAGATTAAAAAAAAAAGCACATATTCTTGAAACATCTGAAGGACGTCACATTACCATTATGCAGCAACTCCTTTTCTCCTTTCTTCCATTCAAAGAAGTTAAAAAAAAAAAAAAAAGCAATCATGACACTGATTGTCTCCACTGAAAACAAAAAGTGCCAGGTCCTTTAATGCACACTGCAGTTAGATCATGTTAGACGACAAGGATGAAGAAACAAAGAATTCCAAATATGAAAAACCTGCAGCAGTTCCCAGAGTTATGACCCAGTCGAGTGAAGGCTGGGGATTGGGTAGAATTTGGAAATCCGGCTTTGTGTTGAAGGGTTAAGGCATTCAGATTCTCCAGTCATTTTAAAGAAAACTTCCTGTTCCTGCAGTTTTCTGGCAAATTCTTCTTCCAGCGTCTAAGAACAAAATCAGATTGTCAGAGGAATAAAAGCGAAACACAACAAGCCTATTACACTGCTGCCAGTCTGATGCGATGTAACTGCACGCACCATTGCAAGAAGTCACCTACAGTTATCAGATTGCAAAACTACCGAGTCCCAACAACATAAGAACCAACATCATCTGCCTGTAGGTTATTCTTTAAGTTGTGTGAAACTCTGGTGCTTTCCAGTTTGAAATTAAAAAAGAAATCAACTACCACAACCACTCTCTTTGTTACTGAGCACTCAATTGTTGTTATATTCTAATGGCTGCTGAAATACATTCCTAAATCAGATTTACTTCAGCTGTTTTATATGGAAATACATACTCATGCCCTGCAAAAGGAACACCGTAAGAGCCTGGTAACATGCATGCCTTCTTTATTGCACCTATTTCAACTTTTTTCATTACACAGTGAACTGTGGAAGTTTTGTGCAGTAGCTTGGTTTTCCTCTGTGTTATTTTTTGTAAGGTCTGCATTTGCACAATTTAACACTTCCTTGTTTTCTGACTCATGACTGCTCCAATTTACCTTTTTTCTTGGTCTAAGTTTCTCTCTCCATTCCTTCAGTTCTTGGCTGTGCTCTTCATCTAGTTCTTTGAGCTTCTGAGTCTCGTGTTCAACCAGTAGATGGCATTTTTCATTCTTAAAACAAGATAAAGATAATCCTTATAAAACTAATTCAGATTAGACAACTCAATGTTGGTACAGTGACATATGTTGTCCTAATTCTTTTTAATTAGCTTATTCTGTGTAAACACTGACGTACATAATTACAAGATAAAAGTATGTTACGAGGTTGCATTATCAAAAGCTGATCTTTCCATCAGAACCAATTGAGATAAGAAATACTTGTAAATCCACACCGTTGACTGCCACTAAGGGAGCAACTGACAGCATTAGTCAGAACTGTGTTCACAGCCTAATAGTGCTAATCGAGGTCATGCAGCATTTCTGCTTTGCTTCCTAAAGAAAGTTTTTATAATTTATTAAAATTGATGACATTAGAAAGGAAGCAGGGTTCGCAGCATAGGAGCTGAAAATTTCAACTGTCAGTGCTATGGAGCTGAGCCTAACAAATGGGGTCTAGAGAGAGAGATGTGCTTGCACTGAAACAGCCTCAGAATCACCCTGTAACAAGAAGGGTAATCAAATCACACACCAGCTTCACATTCTTTAAATTGTACATGCATTTGCTTAACTTACAGAGGAAACTTTGAAGCATGGCAAGTTAATAGTTAAGTATTTGGCTGCATCAAATCTTTGTATTAAGAGGAGCTGTTAATTGAAGCCCCTAAAACCCTTCTTGTTTCTATAGCTGTAGGCCCAACTGGGTCTGATGCAGAGTGTGAAAAAAAGAAAAGAAAAAAAACCACAGGAATAAAAAGCATTTGGCTACTACTGAGTGTTGCTAAGGGCCAACTTCTCTTGGTTGGAGGCTTAGAGCAGCCCTAATCTGCTCAATTTTACTTGAGCTGAGTCTCATACAGGTTCCCACAGTATTTGGGGTTTTACTGAGGTGTATTACTAGCACAGCCAGGGGCTGCATTCACAGGAGGCAAGAAAAGTGATCAGCAAATCTAGTTTCCTTGGCCACTGAAAGGTATCTCTATGCAAAGGTTATAAGCAGATGATCAATTAATACTTCAAAACTGCCTTGAGTCCTTGAAGCAGGGAAAAAACAGATTTCATGGAAAAAGAGGTCTTAGCCTTTAGTATACAGTATCTACTTCTACAAAAAACATTACCAAAACCAACATCAAATTCCTTGCTGTAAGGAGAGCATTCCTTCTAAACACCTTCCACAAGCTCAAGCGTAAATGGCAGCCTGCACTTTGTAAAGACCAACCAATACCATGTATTACTTTGAATGTCTTGTGGGCAGTGCCTGATGCTGCCTACCGCTGTCATGATTACAGACATTTGAGCAAGAGCAGGTTAAAAGGAGATGCTGCCTACACAGAACAGCACTAGGAACTTGGTAAATCTGAGAGTGATCATTTGCTTACGGCTCATCTTCTTGGGCATAAAATGATTTCTTAGTAATGCAAGCTTCTGAGTCTGGTTAAATAGTACACTGCAGCCTTTGAAAGCAAAATTGAAAGAATTCATGTGAGGAAAAATGCAGGAAAAAATGTTTCAGGTTAGTAACAGACAGAGGCAAAGCAGAATCTTCCCACTGGATGCCTATCTACTATCATCTACCTGTAGCTGATGCAGTTCTCTGATGTTTGCTTCACACTGCAACTGAAGATCCCGCATTTGATTTTCATGTTTCTGATGCTGTGCCAATCTTTCATTTTTCTGTCTCTTTTCTTCTTGGATTGCAAACTACAATTGAAAAAAAAATTTAGATTATGCTCCTAGAGGCAATAATTTATCTGAATAGAACAACTGTACGTGACAGGACGAATACATATAGCATACAGTATTACTGAATTGAATGATTCTAAAATATTTACATATTTTTAATGGCCCTGAGGTAGAGGACTTGGTGAACTTCATGAGGATCGTATCTGCCCCATTCTCCAGCTTGACTGGTCCTTCTGAGTGGCAGCAGACATCCATACATCAACCTGGTTCTGTATCACCTGCAGACTTGCAGAGTGCATTCTGTCCCATGATCACATTTGTGTTTATGTCACATCAAGCATTTACACCATTAAGATCATTTTTATTAATTACCTGCTTAATTTTTTCACGATCTTGATCTGGAGAGGCTAATGAATTAATTCTTAAACTTTTCTTAAACATAGCCATTCGAGTCTTTGCTTCACTTCGCTGGATCTTAGGCAGTCTGGCTCTTTCCTGAGTTTGCTTGTTCTTTAGCTCTTCAATAAGGCGTTGGTTGTATCTCTGCATTTGTTCTGTTTCCTAAAACATTAACCACATGGAAATATTGCAGAATACCTCTTACATTAGAGCATCTCTTCTCATCAATGCACATGTTGTCTGAGAAATGACTCAGCCCTTGTGATACCAAAGGGGTAGATGAGGTCTTCTTTTAATACCAGAGAATTCTGGATCATGCTCAACCCATACAAAATTCTTTAATGTCCTAAGACAGACAGATACACTTTACACATGGTTGCTCAACTTCTGAATTATGTTTTTAAAGTGTCTGTGTGCACAAGAGAAGAAGCTTCAGTGGAACTGAACTTCCACTACTGCAATGAAAGCAGCAGCCATTATGGGGATTAAAATACAAACACCCAAATATATAGAGGTCAGTTTGCAATGGAGGCCAATTCTGATCCAGTGACCAAGGAAATCCTATCATCTTTCTCTGTATTGAGTTTAAATTTCCAAGAATTGTATTCCTTTATTTAGTACATTCTATTTAAAAAAAAAGTTAAATGCCTTGTAGTAAATGTGTTGCCTTATGAACTTTTACTATTTAGATTTAGCAACAGAGACAGATTTCAGTACTTGCCCCAAAGCTCATCTAGTTTCTCATTCTGCTCATTGAATTCCAAGATGATTTACTAATGAGTAGATTTATTTAACTACAACCAAAACTCTACTAATTTTTATGCACAAGCACTATTTGTTATTTTGAATAGCAAAAGGATGGTTGTTGTTTTGTTGTTATTTTGTGGATTTCTTTTTTAAAGGAATCTAAAGGTAAAAAGAAGACTCCTCATACTTCAATGTACCACTGTTAGTGAAGCAAGATCAATGTTTATCTTTATTCCAACAGAAGTACAGAATCTATGCAGCATGGAAATACCCACGTGGGTATTGCCTAAGCAAATAGCTACCACAGAGACTGATTTAAAAATAAATAAATAAATAAAAAGGAGATTATAATACACAAAGGAAAGTGTCAAAGTCAACACTGACCTTTTCATGCCTCTTAAGCAGCTGATGCCTCTGCATGAAGTACTGATCCTTGAGTTGCTGTTTGAGGAGCTGGTGTTTCTCTTGTAGATGTCGCTCCTCCAGCTCCCAGATGGCAGCTTCGCGAGCTGCAGAGAGAAGGCAGGTTTAGAAAGTACAACACAATCCTTTCTAACCCACCTGCAAGTGTATGTTTACAAGTGGCCTACAATCACATTTTAAGAGCAGTGCTATTCTATAAGCAGATTATTAGCATTCCATATTATTATTTTATTGAAATGCAGCACAAATGACTACCTTTAAGGAAAGGCTCACCTCTCATGAGCTGCTGTTTGCTGTTGAGGCAATCTCGTTCAATAGTGGCTAGTTCTGTCTTTTGCTGCTGAATAATTTTCTTCAGAGATGCATCCAGTTCTTGTTGCTGCTTCTGTACAAACTCCTGCTCCTGGTGAAAAGCAATGAATTAAATATTGTACTTCCAGCCACATGGCATTTGAATGAAATTCCCCGTTCTCCCAGAACGAGCTATACACGAAAACAAGTTCAGCTACAGAGATTTGAGCTAACATGCTTCAGCTACACAATTATCTGTTGAATTTTCTACAGACAGAGTAGGCAAGAGAATACTTAATACTTAAATAATACTTTCAGAAATAAGACCAATGACAACAGACTAACCAGTAACCTATAATTCATTCCATCTCTCCTCTAAAAAAGCTGCAATTTAAAGGTAGCAAAGACAAGCATGCTCAATATATAGTTGATCTCAGTTGTATCAACGGTTATGGATTTGTGGATGTAAGAAAACAGAAGCATTTATGATTTTTTTTTTGCTTTGGATTATTAGGTAAAGCCAAGTTATTTATGTGTTAGTTTCAGAACTGTGTCTCAATCTCAAGTGGTTTATCACTTCATGAATGCAAAGATACTGACTGAGGTTTGGGGTCCTGTGACACTGCAAAGAAGACACCCAATGGCTTTTGTGGGAATTGCACTCTGCAGCACTACTGAGCTCAGCATGCCAGAGCTGACCTGGCTGCTCACAAATGATTTGCCATCCGCGTCATGCAGTCACCTGCACCTTCCCATTATCCAAGGTACCTCAGGCACTGCATCCCGTCATGAAGAACAGAGAATACTGAGAATCCCCATCCACGCTGCAAGAACAAACCACTGAATTTCTTCTTTGCAACTATCGAGAAAACCCAACCTCAGACCACATCTGCCAGCACACAGGCATGCACACAACACACACTTCAAGAAATTAACGCAGATGTTTCTACCAGGACATAAAGGTTAAAAAAACCCACGATGGCAGTTGTCCTTCTGAGCCAAAACAGGCAGCTGAGGCATTTGCTGTTACACACAGTGAAATTAAAGATGGCCTGCTGGATGGGAGATGGCAGAAGGCTGAAAATACTGTGGGTGATCGCTGCAAGGGCCTCCTGAGCTAGTTATCTATTTTCTTTTTACTGAGCCTTGCTAAGAGCCATCAGCATGCAGAACTACATGTTAATTAAAAATACTTTATATTATGACCAGGATGCAACGTTACTGAAAAATAGACAAGTCTTTTGTGTCTCCCAGTGGGCAGCAGAGTTAAGCTTACACAGACAACAGGAAACCAGAGGCGGAATAAGATGCTGCAAGTTCAGAAAGGAGCAGGGCTGAGGGTACAAAACAGACTTGGGAGGCCAGGTTTGTGAATGACATCAGGCATTCCTAATCAAATGCATGAACTGACGGAAAAATACTGTTGTGTTTCCCTTTCTGGTTGGAAAAGGAGAAAAACTAAAAGTTGATTTTGAGCAAGCAGGCACAGAATTAATACTATCTTGAACTCCTAGTAATCTTTTTTATCTGAAAAGTGCAGAGGGACAGCTGCTCTAGTGTAGTCACAGTCAAAAAAAGTTATGCTGGGGATTTACTGTCAATCATTTAAATATCATTGCTTCCATATCTACTTAAAACACATCAAAAAACCCCCAAACACACACAAAAAAATCCTTTCTAATTATTAGCACTGAGGTAAACCTGGCAATCTCAGAAAGCAGTCATGCAACAAAGATCATAGACCTTACTCAGGAACATGCTGGATAGTGCAAAAGGCAGTCTGCCTCTTTAAATTCACCACTTGGTTTTGCCCAGTATCTTAAACCAGTATCTTTACAATCCGTAATTTCACAGCACACACAGCATTCTACACACAAGTGTTTCTCACATGTGCTGAACAAATAAACACCTGAGAACATCACTGTATCACGCTTGTGCTCTGCCCAGAGGTAGCGATGCTGTCCTTTTATATATACATATATATGGTGTAGTTATACACATTTGTGCTAACTTGTTTGGAGGTAGCAGTGAAACTGATCAGCACATATGAGCAGAAAGAGAAGAGAAAACATCTGGAACGTTAGGGAAATAAAACTTCTTGGTTTGTATTTTGGGACTTACATCCTGCATTTGTGCGTTGAAAAGCGTACATGAAGACAACTGAAAAGACTGAATCATAACCTGAGCAACGCCCTGTGGGACACAATGTACTTCCTATGTCAGAATACAATGAAATATAGTGCTGGTCTTAAAGAAAAAAAAAGAAGAAATGAGTCTCTGCTGTGTGTCAGTTATATACACCTAAAACCTCAAGGCTAATGGAACAAAGTAGACACATAGAATTTTTGGATATTAAAATGGAACATTTGCACTTTGTCTACTACTGCACCATTCCAAATAAGGATCTTCCACCTTTAAAACTTTTTTCAACAAACTGAAACCAGCAAAGGAAAAAACCAGCAAAGCCATCACAAACACTGCAAACATTCAGTTCCTGAATTGTTTCCTTAACAACATCAGAGACACAAATCCTCAGCATGGAGAGCGCTGTAACTCAATCAAATTCTATGCCGGGAAATCCCCTCCTGCACAGGACATGTAATCAAACAAAGTTGCTGTTATTTTCTGCCAAGTCACTCACATGAACATTTTGTCTAAGTTACTTGATCCAAAACTGCTCCATGTGGGCAAATTTGCTCTTGTACAGGCAATGGCCACCACAAAAACATTCTGAAATATTAGCAAGCCCTTTTCCAGACAGCTCACGTAAAGACAGTAAGTTTGAAGGCATGAAGCTATGATGTCTTATAGTTTCCATTCACCTACCTGTGTTTAGGCATTATATAAATTCATTTGATCTAATCTTTTAGAAGAAGGGACTTTTCAAAAGGGCAGGTAGTGATAGGACAAACAAAAAGAAGGGAAGATTTAGATCAAATACATTCTTCCCCACAGGGAGGTGAGGTTCTGGCACTGCTACCCAGAGAGCAGTGGGTGCCCCATCACTGGAGCTGCCCAAGGCTGGGTTGGATGGGGTCTTGGACCCTGATCTGGAGGGGGCACCCAGCTCATGGCAGGGGGTAGAACTGAACAGCCCTTAGGATGCCCTCCAGCCCAACCATTCTGTGATTCTGTGATAAACTACTGTGCTTCTAGAAATGATGCCTCATGCTTACAGATTCTACGTGTTTTCTGTCTCTGTGATTATATTACTCAAAAAATAACTTCTGACTCAAACTTTTATAATTTGATGGACCTGTGGGGGTACTCACAGCACATAAAAGCACCGCAGTGGAACTTGTCATAGGAAAATGCATTTTTTTGGCACACTATACATAACATTATGCTTAACAGCACAAACCTGGAAGTCACTGCTCCTGCATTTCTACACGTTATACTGTATGGGAAGTGATAGGGAAGTATTTGAAGAAAGAGCATACATAGAGTTAGTCTGAGTTAAGTTTCATATTCACTCAACAACAACAAGTGAAATTATGGAGCTGTGCGAATACCGCTGCCTTTTGTATTTTAGTAGCTTGAAGCTGCCGCTGTTACCTGAGCATGCTGGCTTTGTGCAAGCTCCTCTTTCTTGCGTTTCAGGAGCTCTTTTCTCAGCTCTTTTGGTGCTTTCTCCACTTCACAAAAAACCTACAGTGTATATAAGCATGCAGAAGGTGGCGAAAAGAACACTTTGTCTGCAGCAAGCATTATTGTGAACATAGGACATGCAGGTCAAGCACTAGAGGTATACTGGAAAGTGTGCAATACTTCAGTGGCAGGGATGTTAGTTTAGTGAAAAGAGCTTAGTGAAAAGAGATGGAGCAATGCATGCTTTAGGTATGCCAGTGCAGGAAGGAGGTGTATACCAGCTTCTTTTTGCATGCACATGCTGCCCAGTGCTCTCAGAAATGGCAGTTGTTTGCTTTTTCATGCAGCAGCTAGAATAGGCAATAGTTGAGAAAACCACCACTTGCAAAAGTGGTATTTTCTTGAAGCACTACCGTAAAAGGGACTACAGAGTATGTTTACTTCACAGTAAAGCTGTGAAAAATTGTTGAAGCTTAAATAAGTCCTCAGTAAAGAGAGCCATTTTTGACACTATCTAGAACATGAATTTATACGATGCGCTTGTTAAGCGTCACAACCATAAACAGCATCTATGCAGGGCAAGTCTTACCAATGATCATAGAAAAAATATTAAATGGTTGTAAATGTTCAGAAGAATTTAAAAGCAAAAAACACCAATGACTAATTGTTTTTAAGAAAGTTTTCAGTACACATGCTGGAATGAAATGTTTTGTTTCAGTTTGAGGCAAATTAGACAGGAATAGAAGAAATATAACCTGGCTAATCAGGCTAATATGCACATGAATCTGTTACTTTGCTGATGGTCGTTTTGTTGTTGGTTTTGTTTGTTTTTGCTATTGGTTTTTTGTTTTTTGTTTTTTTAATTGTAAGAATTCAAAAAATGAACACTGCACACACCTCAATATAGCACGGGTAGCTCAGAGCACCAGCTGCATTTTCCTTCAAACTCTAGTTCGCCCTCTTAAGCTGTAAATACAAAGCCCTACAGCCAGAAACAAATGTCTGTTTGTTTAATACTGGAAGCATCATCAGAAAACAGAGTCCAAATCACCACATGCTATTCCTGTTTCCGTGAAAGAATTGCTTTTAGCTCAGAGCAATATATAACGCTCTTCCCGCTTTCCCATGTAGGACCCAATCACCAGTAAACAGAAAGAGACTCAAAAATGCAAGAGGTTCCGCAAAAAGAAGAAAATGGTTATTTACAAGCATACAGTTCGCACTGAACACAACATTTTTTTTTCTATACACTTTTGTACTATGGGATCATTCTGTGCAAAAGCATGGGCAGTACAGTTCTTGGTTTTCTTTCTTTTTTTTTTTTTTTATATAAAGAAATCTCTGCAAGTCTAAGAGCAAATGCCAGAGACATTTATATACAAACAAGCCCAACAAAACTGATCTGAGAATGAAATAAAGCAACTTCTACGATGCTAATTACACAGAGGTACACCACTCCTCTTATTCGAATGCAAATAAATTAACAGCATAAGGTGTCAGTGTCAAACGTTACTCACTTTGCCTTAGCTCTACAACACACATGAAATTAACTGGAAAAGATCTTAGGCCATCAGATTTTCTTCTCTTAGCTTTCTCTTTGGAGTTAAAGAACAAAACCAACATAATTGACTCTTCAGATAACAGTGCACAGTGTTTTGGGAGACCTAACCTCAACCATTTACTGTGGCCATACTCTTTGTTTTCTGTACATCCTTGCCTCTTACCTCCTTCTTCTTGTTCTTCAGCATGTTCTGGAATTTGGAGAGCTCTTTCTCCTGCTCTGCTTTGATGCGCTTCGCTTCATCTCGTAACCGATTTGTGTGCTCCTGCTCCAAGCGCTCTATGGTCTGCTTCTGCTGCTTCTCCAGATTCTCTATTTCTTGGTCGTACTGCCGCTTCTTACTCTGTTAATAAAACAAAAAAAGCACAGCTGGCAGGCAGTATGTTCTAGCATACAAGCTAAGCACCCCATAATGCAAAACCATTGCTGTTATTAGCAAGAATGACAACTGAACCATAGCCATCATAGAAGAATATACCTATATTGTTGCTACTAGCATACTGTCAAGGTGATACATTTTAAGGGCACCAAAATTCAAAAACTCACTGTCATTTCCTGTTCAAAACGCCTGTACATCTGTTCCCGTTGTTGCAGGAGTTTGTTGCTGAGCTGCTGTTGGGCTCTCTGCTCCTCTTTCTGAAGAAGCCTCAGCTCTCTCAGCTCCTGACGCCTAAAAAGAAATAGTTCATATTGATGGGAAAACAAAAGAAAATTACAAAAGAAAAAGCATCGACAACTTAGATACAGTAAAGCTAGTTTTGAATCCTCTCATTGAGAAACAGTTTCCATTTATTTCTATGGACAGAAAAAAATCAACTTAGTCCCTAAATACGACAAAAACACAACTGTTACGTTCAAGACACTGTAATCTCTTGCAAAATTTACTTTTGGAAATGCTTACCGCAGAAATCTCATTTCTTCACTTTTGGAGTCATTTTCAGTAACTATTTTTGATGTTGTTACACTCACTTCTACTCCATCAACAACAAACTTCCGAGTTTTCTTTAAAGTTTTCTTCTGTCTCCTGGTTTCCTGAATAAAGCATAGGGAAATTGGTCTGCATTTAAACCGTATTCACTCTTCCTTTCCTTTTTTCTTTTTTTAATTCTCTTAATAATAAATTACTTCGGTGTTTGTATGGTGGTATACTGCATAGCCATCAGGACATCTTGCTTATTAAGCAGCTGATTTACTTAGTGAGAACTTGGAAAAATTATCATGAAATGAAGCATTCTTTACTCAAAGAAAGCCTGATTATTGGTCATCCAAGTTGCCATTCAGAGGAAAAAACAACTGATAAGCCCAGACCAAAACAGACTCAGTTTGATTTTCAAGAGCTGAACAGTCACAATTACTGCCTGCTTTTGCCTATAATTTTCCCCAATCAGCAATAAAAGAATCTAATTGGGAAAATCAACCCTGAAACCTAGCAACGTTTAACTCATCTGCTCACCTGTGCTTTGGACATAAATGCAAGTAGCAACACGCTGTTATTTTGGTTGGTTTTGATTTTAATTCTTACATGACAGCAGCCAGTACTCACGTGATGAGGACCTTGCTGACAGAATGAAAGTAATACCTACTTCTCAGAGCTGCTGTTATTTCATTACGGGACAAAAGAGACCCCAGCTAAAACTTTGCCTCCATTGTGTTAAGGCTACCGCAAATGCATTGAAGTTGTGATAGCACAGCTATTTCAAGTTGTCCTTTGTTTGTTTGTTCTTGTTTTATTTCAAACTCATGATTACACAGTTACTATCTTAGTGTGGCTATAATCAGACCGGTATAAAGATATAAGTAAAGTTCATATTCTGAAATGTGCTTTATCCAAATAAGCTCATTCATCCCAGCATTATTACTGCAATACAGTACAAAGGAGTAGTGTCTGGCATTCACAAACTCAAGATGGTCTGCCTTAGATCTTTTAAATCGGAACAGAAACATAAGATGGAAGTGACAGGAATTCAGTGTGAGATTCAGACACTGAAAGAGATTTGTCCTGGTAGAGCGGGGATTCTGAGCAGGGTAAGAGCCAGCATTCTTGAACATTAGGTCTGAACTACAACTATGCACAAATCTTTGTGTTTAATAGTTAAACTTTGTTACACGTACTTTAATTTATTAGAATACAACCATGAAACAAAGTAAGAAGATAATTAGCAGTTCTGTAGCTACTAGCTTGGCTGCACAAAACCCAGACATGCAGTGAATGCATAATGCAGAACATCCCCATTCACACGCATTTCTATATTCTACACAGTCATATAAGTTTTTCAGTCTGTTTTTTAGTTACAAATGTCAAACTTGGAGATGATTTTAGGTTTGCATTCATTGGATTCACATGGGATTTTATATTAAAAATATTATTGTTTATACTTACCTGTAAAGAAATTGATCCTGTCTCCTTGTTTTTACTGAGGAAACTAGAAATTGACAAGTTCAAATCAATGCTGCTGTTATCAGCAGTAGAACCCGTGCCTGAATCTGCATCATTTTCCTTCAGGTTCTCAGATTCTAGCTGCTGTAACGTTTCAGTACTGTCTTGATTATCCATTTTGACCTTTTCATTATTTTCTTCAGTGCTAATACTAATACTGGGAACTGGAGTGAGTTCAGAGTCATCAGCTTGTTTGCTGGTAGTGTCTTGAAGCTTATTCTTCATTATTTTATCAGAAGAAACTTCTGGTTGCTCTTTGTCCATTCGGATATTGTTTTCCTGGATATTCTCAGCTCTGTGGTCTTCCAGATTCTGGTCCATCTCAGTCTGTTCATCCACCATTTTATTAGAAATATCCTCAGGCTTGTCCTGTATTGCCTTCTGGCCTACATCATCTTCTCCAGAGTCTTTGCTCTCCATTTCCTCCATGCTACTTATTTTACAGATATTCTCATTTTCACTTTCTGCCAGCTTCTTCTCCTCTTTGATCTCTTTATCTTGGCTTTCTGATAGAGTTTTTTCAGAGCTGATTATCTCAAGGACCTGCTTAGCCTGACTTTCCACTGGCTTATCCGACGTCTCAGGTATTTTATCCCCATCGCTGATCTGTGTTTCAGCAATACCACCTATCTCCTTAATGTTTTCAATTCCATGCTTTACGAGTTCCTTTTCTTCATCTGACACTTTATCGTCAGCACTAGGTACCGAGTCTGTAGTGACATCTGTTATTGCCTCTTCCTGAGCTTTATCTTCATCTTGCTTTTGCTCTATGATATTTTCTGCAGTGACCTTTTCATTTTCACTCTCTGAGAGATCTATTCTGATTTCCTCTTCTTTTTCACCGGTTTCCTCAGAAAAGGCTTCTCCAGTTTCTGCGCTGTCATCAACTGAAGGAACTACTTTCAGTTCATTTTCCTCACTTTGTTCATTTCCTATGTCATTTTCTTCCTCCATTTTTAAGTTGTGTTCATCCTTTATTTCTGATATTGTTACTGCATTAAGTTCTTTAGTTCCTTTCTGAGGTTCTGTATCTTCAGCTGTTCCTTCCAGACTTTCTGTATTCTTTTCAGCTGGCAATATTTTGCCTTCCTCAACTTCACCAGTTGGCACAGAACCATTCTGCACTTTGATATCACCAGCAACAACATCAGGTATGCTTTCAGCTGTTTTCCTAATTTGAATGTCCTGAGAGTCATCTTCAATTGTTTTACCATCTGGAAATACAGTGTTGCTTTTCTCCTCAATTGCATTACTTTCTGTTTTTTCAGAAAGTGATTCCAGAACAGAGGCATTCTGTGAGAGCTTATCCTCTTCAGAGCTGGCAATACTAAGGTCAGAAGATGCACGCTTGTCTGCAGGTAACTGCTGAAAAATTAAAGAAAGAAAAATATTTAATCACCTTCAGATTTACTTAAAGCACAGTCCTATTGAAGAATACCCAAAGAGATGAATACATTATGTTTACAGAAAACATTATGTGAATGCTATAGTTTGAGAGCACTTCATTAGGTGTTACCAGAGGACAATTGCCTGAACTGTAGCTGGGCTCTCAACAGAACATTTCCCGAAAATGCTCTCCCATGCCTCAAAATTTAATAAAATGTACTGTGATTGAAGAAAAGGGATCACAGCCAGTAGACTGCTAGGCAGTAGACTTCACAGAATCCTCAGGAGTCTTTATGCAATCCCATTGCTCCTTATTTTATTACTTTATTTTCCCTGGTAGTCCCATCTACATCCAGATTTGAAAAACATGTCTTTGTATCAGACTGGTAGGAAGGACTAACACAGTTTTAATTAGTGTAGAACTGATAAAATTCAATACTAAGAACCCCTTCTGCTTCATCAAATATATCATCTCTCCTTTTGTTCTTTGATAGAAACACTTTTGTCCTTTAAATCACAGTAAAGCTCTATTAAAATGGTGAAAACTTCCAGCACAGTTGAGTAAGTAGTGTTACTGCACTGGAATAGAAACAGTTACATAACTGTAGAAATTGCTGTTGCTGAAATCTGAATGATTATCAGATTACATACAGATGTAAAAAAGAATATACCAATGAAGAATCATTTTAACCATAATTGCTCTTCCACTCTTCAAAGTGATTACAGTACCTCTGGCTGTACTTACTGCTAGAACCCTGTAATTTGCAGATCAGGCTTTTGATTTGCCAGTGGGAATATACTAGGCTAGCTATTGTACCAAGCATGGCTACGATCACACGTGTCCTACATCTGACAGCTTCCCTAAGCAGGAAGAGAACAACTTTTTAATCTGAAAGTGCACGTAACAGACCTTTCTGTTTGTGTCATTCTAGAAGCTTAGTGTTCTCCAAGCAGTTTTTAAAACAAATGCAGTACAGTAAATGTATCTACGTCACAACTCCCTAGGCTGGGACAGGAACCACTCTCAAGTAGTTCACAGCACCGAGGCACAATTACTTAAGTTACTGTGCAACTTATTTGAGTTGCAGGGTGACCTTCACCCCCAACTCACCTGGAGATCAATAGCTTAACTACTAATCGGCTGATGGAGGTAGTGGTGATGCTCCAGGGGACTGAAAATAAGTCGTGGAGAAAGCTGGTGAGAACGCACACTTCTGGAGATTTGCTTGGGGTAGAAAGTGGTATGGAGGCCAGGGAACACAAGTGGCTCAGTGAGGTATGAGGAGAGAATGGAGGTGTACTCCTTGTGCTGGTAATGGCAGCCACCAGCAGAACTGGTCATTGTCAAGTGCTGACAGTGTTTGAATCAGTTATATCAGAGAGCCACTGCGTGGACACTGCAGCCTGCCACCACATAACTGAACGTCGGGGCTTTGTGCTCCGACAAACTGAATCTGTTGTAGGACTCTTAAGCATCTTTAAAAATACACTCAGATACAATCTCCTCTAGGTAAAATTTGTTTCCTTGACTTTGGATTATTTTTTTCTTGACGGTCACACTTAGCTTGCTGTGTAACACTTGCACATTTTCCTTCTTGGTTTAAGCATCATATGAAATATACAAATATGTTTTTTATTCATCTAGTCATTTAGACTTAAACATTTTATACATAAACATTCTACACTGCATATATATGTAAAAGTAAATGAAGGCAATAGACTTCATTATTAGTTCTTAGCAAGCTTAAGAGCACACTAATTTTGAAAGCACTGACTATTTTGTAATAAGGTTATCTTATGTTTATGCTGTAATGCTTAGATGACTTGAAGTGAAAGATGGGTTGAACATCAGAAAACTGAGAACTCCATAGAAAATTGGTGATTGAAACTATTTGCATATTTAAACAACTAAATTTCAAACTGACCAGAGAATTGTCTGTTTCCTCTTCTTCATCCTCATCTTTACCATCTTCCACTTCTTCCGTAACTTCTGCCTTAGCTTCTGCAATCAATTCTCTTATTGGCTTATTGGAAGTAACAGTAACAAATGGGTGCTTGTGAAAATAAAAGAAAAAAAAAAGCCCATCATTAAGTGCTAACCTCACTGCACACAATTTGAAAAACACATCTTAAAAGAAATATCAGCTTCAGAGAACCATTACTGATTCTCTCAAACTTTAAAACTCACAATTTTAACATTAATCATAACTGTTTTATTTCTTTCTGCTGAAGTTTTAAATTCAAAACATTTGTAATCAAATAGACTGCGTAAGAAGCCTAACAAAAATGCTAAAAACACACATTATTCATTTCTACTAACCTTTTTCATAGTCCAAAGAATAAAAGTAGAAAGATTTTTTAAAAGGTTATTTTTCCTGGAAATGGTTTTCATTTCTTTTCAGTTCCACAGTAAAACTATTTCCTGGGAAGTTTTATCTAAAAATATTCTTTTTAGAAAAAAATGGCTTTTTTCTTTGTAATGCCTTTCCCTAACAAGAACACAGAATTCTGCATTTTTCTTTAAGGGAACGCAGATACCCGCTCTTCTCCTACTCCTACCATCTTAATCTTCTTTCTCTCATTGGCCCTTCTGCTTAAACCTATTCAATGTGTCAGATGTATTCCGGATAAAGTAAATGTGTGCTGACGTTAAACAGAATCAAATGCACCTGGTCACATCTACTTGTGTTTAGCTATTCTGCAGTGACAGCATTATAGGAGGCAGCCGAGCACTAAAGCTTTTAGAACACCTGTCAGCAAACGACTACTTACGTAAGTATCAGCTCCACCCATTATAAGAATCAAAGTATAATTTAAGTACTTATGCAAAATAATTAATTACAACTCATCAAAAGACGTAAACAGAGAATTTGATCTGCACTTCGTATTATTTCATCAGGTTTTACTGAAAAAGACCTTCCAACAATATTGAAATCATAGTATACAAACACCTCAAACACCTGAACATATTTAAATTTTACTCTGCTTTTAAAAGAATATAAATGTTTGTCTGAAGAATTAATTCCTCATACCTGTAGGAGTTGGGTTGCACTCCACCTCAAATCTACATTCTTTTCCAAACATTTCTTCAGAAAGTCTTTAAAATCCGATGACCTACAACAAAGCAAACCAGCAGTCTCTTTTCTTTAGTCTTGACATGACTTTAGTCTTGACTTGAGATCAGTGCATAGTGAAACATTTTTTTTTTTGCTTTCATGTGCATCTACACAACTTCAGGTCCTTCTATCGATTTAGACAAACAAAGACAGTATATGGATGGAAAGACCAATGTGGCTCATGTCATCTTTAATACACTCTTCTATTTATAGAAGAGTTTACTTTTGGCTCTGAATTTACAATACAACCCATCTGTTATACCATTAACTGAATCTCACAAGGATATCACATTGATCAAGTAGATAACAGCTTTTTTATGTCTTCTATGTATAAAAATACTTAACTCTCTTGTTTCCCAATTTTGAGATGGTCCTGAACTGCATTTGTAAAAGGCTGTTTTTATCTATTTTAATGCAAAACTGGCAAGTCTTCAAATTCTGTAATATTTCAGTATTAAATCTTCTGTATAGAGCTACAACAAAGACACCATAGACCCCACTGTATCAGATTATAAACAAATAAAACATACAGAGCATATATAGAAAATGTACCTGGCTTTATGCATAAAACCAGTACCATAATGTTCAGCAGTGCTGTGCCTCTGAACAGCAAGTCACACACTGCCTTATGGTCAAATTCTACAAACGAGGGTGGGAAAGTTATCAATGAAATACAAACCATTTTGAAGGCTGTGCTAATGTAGGTGGATCAGACTTTGCTATTTTCAGGAGCACTCGCATTGGATTCAATTCATGGTGAGGTGGCTCTATTTGAGCCATTTCAATTAAAGTAATGCCAAGAGACCAAATGTCAGCCTTGTAATCGTAAGGCCTGTCTTTAGATGTCTCACACATTACTACTTCTGGAGCCATCCTGCAAACAGAGGAATGAAGTACCAGATTAGAAAATGCATTCTAATCTTATGGAAAAAGTTTTAAACAATCTGAATTTATTGCAGCATTTTTAAGAAGCAGATTCTGCTCTTAATACATTTACGCACTCTCCATTTTATAGCATTATAGCATTAACAACAAAGGCAATATTAGGATATTGTTCTAACTAAAATTCAGCAGAGCAGCACACTTACCAATACGGCGTACCAATAAAAGAATCTCTTCTTTGTATGGTTCTTGTGTTTTTAGCTGATACTCCGAAATCCGCTTAAAGTGAATAAGAAAATACTGTTAACTTGGAGGTGGAAAACACATTATGTTTTCAAATTTTACAGCTACTTTTCAGATGTGAGGCATTCTGCTGTACCGAAAATTCAAAGTGAAATAGAAGTATTTGCATTTTGATAATTGCCTACTCAGGCATTCAGGTTTCATAGTATTTCTAGTTAAAGATACTGAGTAAATCTTACTCTCTGTTGCAAAAAAAAGTAATGCCAACGTTGAGCTGTGTGTGGCAGGACAGAGGTATGTATCTGCAGTAAGAATAAGCAGGTTATTTTAATTAGAAAATGACTTTAGTGTAGGAAGGCTGTATTGCTCAGATACAGCTTATTAACTCTCTTATTAATTCAGTTTTTTATTGTTATTAATTATTGTTATTAATTCAACAATTTTTTATTGTTACTTAAATTCTCCAGAAGTGAGGTTTTATGTTTCACTTTTTCCTCTATGTCGTTTATGTTTAAAGCACTGTGTGTTTTATGTAAAAAAAAAAAAAAGAAAAAAAAAGAAAAAAAGAAAAGAAAGAAATGACATTTAAATATAAAGGTTAGGCTTATTATAGATGTGACTTTCCTTAATGAAAATACACAGATTATAGAAAGGAACAGAATAGCCATATACTGCTGTCTTTAATCAGTACCAATTGACTCAGTGGGCTCAACAATTGAGAAGCCTAATTTTGCTTTGTGAGAGGAAAAAAAAAAGGATTAAGAGAGCTATTTGTTCAAATGCAAAACCTGAAATACTGAGGGGACTACGGATACTGAAATAATAAAGCACACATGCAATAGAAAAAGTCATTTCCCATTCAAGTATTTATTTGGCAAAAGCTTAAAATAGTGATAGTCCATATGAGGAAGAGCCAGCTTATAATTAAAATGAACAGAAATTCATGTTTCCCTCACCATGAGGCTTACTATGATTTTTGTCTTTTACAGCAATACTTAGAAATTAAGGGGGTGATTCTATTATATTTATAAACGTGCCCCATGAGAATGAGTCCATGACTAAAATCTTCCAAGAAAAAGCAAAAAGATCAGCAACATTTGTAGATGAAGAGAAAGGCACGTGCTAAATATTAGAGCTACAAAAATATTTTATGCAAGGAAATCGTTCAATACTGTAGGTACAAAGAATAACTTTGTGCAAGGACATCCATGCAAAAATACAGCTACATGAACCAATAATCTAGCTGGGCAGGTTCTTAATTAGCTGTTATCTTAATAGCTTATATCCAACCGCCTGTATGGAGCCCTGAACTTAACGGATCCAGACAACTCCTGTCTTTTTTCTACTGGAAAAACTGAGATAGTTAAATTTATTCTCTTGGTATAAATAAAAATTACAGAAAACAGTTCCAGGTACCCCTTTTCAGTCATTGCAAAGAATGTTCATTTTCAAAACTAAAAACTATAAAAAGGAAGTTACTACAGTAAGGTAAATTAATGTATAATTAAGCATGCTACATTCTAGGAAAGTTTTATACATAACATGCTTACCTAGTTTAATGTCTCCATCCAATGTGAAAAGAATATTGCCAGCTTTTAGATCTCTGTGGATGATCTTATTTTCATGCAAGTAGTTCAGTGCTTCCAGTGTCTGCCTGCACACCACTTTGATCTGCGGCTCTGTTAATGGCCTTTCAAGCTCTGAAAGAGAAGGAGGCAGAAATAAACACACAATTTTTGCATTTTTATGTTATTTGTTTATAGCAACCACCATGTATGTCAAAAAAAACAAATCAATCTGACAGATTCTGAACACCACATTGCTCTGTTTGGGTTAACAGCAACATTCCTAATTATTCCAGTGAAACAAAAATTTCATCTCTTCATCAACCCCTCCTCATGATGAACTCTGTACACCTGCCTATCTGAAGTGAGAAAAAAACACAGCGTACAGAGATTGGGTACCTTTTCTCTAATACACATAAATGTTAAACAGATCCCTTACTGGTATTAGCATGCACTAATTGGAGGAGTAAGCACAGAGAACTTCACTAAGATTGATGTACAATAAAAAGTTGTCACAAAGTAAATTGGAGGATGACTGGAGAAGGGGAAGAACGGGATCCTGAAAAAGGATCAGCATAGATCATGTTAAAACAAAAGGAGAGCTCCATAAGGATATGAAAGCAGCTCATCACATTCACTTCAAGGATCGAGACATTAAAGTGGGTTTTGAGAAATAAGCAAACACTTTAAAAATGAGAGAAAATTCATCTAACCACAGAATTCATCGTATCCGCAGATACTGTAGTAAATACACTTTTCAGGACCCCAACATTCAACACATGTACCACACCTATTACATATACATTTGTATTTCAAAACAGTCTGTCAACAATCTGTGCTTAAAATATTTTAATATTATCATTTTAAAGATGTTATGAAATTAAATATTTGAAACAACTTATTTACCCAACATTACTGCATCTACTGCTCCACCTGCACAAAATTCGATCAGGATCTGTATATAAACAAAAGAATACATCAATTACAAATTAAGTAGTTCTGCTGAGCTGAAGCGTTGATTAAGGGAGCATTGCTGGGAGACTACAGCTTCAGACTATTTGACCTTGAAAATTTTTGCACTAATCTCTACAAGATATTGATACTATTAACAAGCTAACAGTAGGGCTGCGAAGCTGAAGTAAATTATTTGAAAAACGCTTGGAGATCCTCAGTGTGTTAATCCAAAGATAAAATTCCACAATAAAAAGTATTAAGGTCAGCTTGAATCCCAGTAGTAATGTGATTTACATAATCTCTGCAAACTCATTTCTCAGTTATTGTGCTGCACTTTTATATATAATCTCCGATTGAATGGTCCAAGTAAAAGAGCTACGTGATTTTTCAGCAGATGTTATCCCCATGTTAATTTGCTTCAGGTGAGATGAAAATCCGGACAAATAATCATTAAAATGATGGAAAATGAATCATTTCAATTTTCCTCCATTTTCATTGTTCTCTGTAACACATCAATGCTTTTATCCCAGAATCTAACAATGCCACAGCAACTCAATCTTCAGTTCTAAGCTCATGTGTGAAACAGAAATCAACTGCACTGTCACTGCTTGGGGGCACAAACTCTGCTGACATGTAGAACAGAAAGAACAAAGGAGAAAAAGGGCAGACAGAGTGAATGAGGAGAGCAGGGACATGAGAAGAGGTCATCCAAGAGCGCCACCCCAATCTTCATTGGGTGTTTTTCTTCCTTAATTTGAACTCTGAACATTAAACTGTAGTTTTCAGTCTGACAGCCAAAAAGTATTTTGGTCAGAAATCTAACAAACCTCTGAGAAGTCTTTTTTAGAATCAGAGCATAACTGCTCAGAGAGTAAGAAACTTCAAATTATAGCTTGCACAACAACACTCTTTTACCCTCATGTGACGTCTTACTTGAAATTACTGTTGTAATTAAACTACTACTAATATATGTATTATGTAATGTAGCTCTCTGAATCCTTCAAGCCATTCTCTCACTTGATGCTTCTGAATACCTACTGCAAAGTAACTAAAGCATAGGAAATGCTATATGAAAAATTCTTCTCTGTACAATGTTTGAAGTTTCATCTGAAAATCTGACAAAGGTCCCTTTGGTACAGAAATGGTGTTTCTAAAGCTGGAATGCAAAACCATATTCTTCATGTTCGAATCTCTTTCATTTTCTCTTTTCCCCCTCCATTAAGTTCCATTTATGTACCACATCAGAGTGGTGAGCAAACCACTCTGAGCCTTCTCTCTCTCTCTCTCTCACTTTCAGAGCTCTTTATCTTCTCTGTGATTACAGATGTATCATTTCATTTTACAGCTGTTCATTTCCCTTCTAACTTTAATCTGCTAGCAAGCCTATTTTAACTCAGTTTCCCATTCTGCTTCTATGCACAGTTGCACTCATGCTCACACTCTGCATTGAAATTTATTCATAATTCCAAATTACTCTATTTCATTATTCCACTGTATTATACAATGTCATTCTACTCCACATTTGGGTTACACAAACTCTCCACAAAGTTAATCAGAATTATCAGGAAACATGGTATTACAATTCAATTGTTTCCATGCATAAATGAAAAGCACAATTAAAAGAAAATTTCCGTGGAGTCTTACATTTCTTTCAGGGTATATTTTTGGATTACAAACTCCTTTTAAGGAGACATGTATTCTTAGTATAATCCCCAAAGCACTTAAAATATTGCATTGAACCATTCAGAAGAAAAAAATTATTTTCATAGCTCAAGTGAATCCGTGCATAGGATATAGCAGAAAACTGAGGTGCAGTCACACGTACACCCACTGCACTTCCATCTGCAAATATCAGTCAAATAATAACTGTTGAAGTCCTGGTGAACTCTCCTTGCTGGAAGCACCAACAAAACCACTTGTATGTATCTAAAATACTTACTTCCCAATCTGACCTTTTCAGCCTATTATTTATTTCACAGCTGCAAATTCTGAGTCTCAATCTGAACAGTGCAAATGTAATTAACATTTGAATCCTGCTGTAACAAATCAGCACCATGAACTCTCCTCATACACCAAAATGAGCTGCTCATTTCCGAGTTCTAGATTCAATCTGCTAACTCAGAGTAGGTCATTTCTGCAGTGACAGTTTCCTAAAAGTCATACTTACAATTTATGAATTAGTTTTGAAACAGTACAGTTATCTCAATAGAGACAGCCAGAAGAAATGTGATTGATGAGTAGTATTTCAAGAAAATCAGGAAAATACATAATGTCAATGTTCTTTTGAAACAAATGCAAGTATTTATAGAAGAAAAATACATACCCACAGATTGTTTTCATAGTAGAAGGCATCTAGGAGCTTAACAATGTTAGGATGATCACAGGATGCCAAAATATCAATCTCTACCATATAATCTTCAAGTTCTTCTTCTGATTTTGTATCAATCACCTTTGCAGCAGCCAGCACTTTTGTTTCTTTGTTCTGAGCCTGTTAAAAGAAGTCACAACAAATATTTAGATATGGATTTCAGCAGACAGTTGTCACTAGTAAAAAAAAAACAAAACAACAAAACTCATCCCTCTTGATAAATCTGTGCTGTGTTTCTATCTTTAGTTTGCCTTTTCCACAAATGAGAATAGCTTTACTATGAAGACTAGATAAACGCCAGCAGAAAAATTTCTCTCAAGGTTGAGACTCAATGTAAGACAGAGACATGGCAATACTCAGTCCCAGCTGCATTCTTGAAGCCACAAAGCAGTCAGTAGCTGAGGGCCATTGCTATTTGTATGCCTTGGATGAAGTTCTGCGTTACTCCTCAAATAACCATTTACCAACAGTTGGCAAGGAGTATCAGGCAGCTCCACCCTCCCCTTCTGACACTGCCCACATTGTGGCAGCACAGCTGTCTGTAAAGCCACACAAAAACCATCTTCTACCAGAACACAGGAGGTTATGCTCTTCTCAAGCCAGGGCTGTGTTCAAGCTCCTGTATTAAAATGATCCGAGCAGTAATCAGTTTGTTGGGACAACTCACTGTGATTGCTTCACAATAAGCACCATGTAGATGTGTATTACACAAGCACAAGGTTATACACACTTAATGATCCTCTTGCAATCCTTCTTTGAAGGAATAACTTGGAATTCCTCAAGCTTTAAAGAAGATTGGCACACTTCTACAGCAGTGAAGAGTTCTCTCAACAGAACAAAACAGAAGATCTAAACCAGATGTTTATGAAAGTTTTCATAGAACAGCCACAGCAGCAAAAACAAGTGCAAGATGAATCCACTAGGACTACTCTTAAACTCCTCAGAACTTTTCCTACACACAGTCTACTAATATGAAGGGGAAAAACAAGTCTGCTTAATACTATGAGAAATTATGTGGTTTGGTTACATGTTTTATAGCAGGAATGAAAGACCAACCTTTCGTCTCAGAACTCCATTACAAATGAAACCCAGAAGCTTTACAGACGTCTCACATCACAACAGTTAGACCCGGTGGGTTCATGTGCCCAGAAAACAAGTTGTGAAAGCGCCTTCTAAAACAATAAAATCTCAATTATATACTTATTTTTTGGAATTAAGTATGGCTATGCACTCTCTGCAGCACTGTGTAATTTATGAGGATACTTCACAGAAACATGAGAAGACCATAACATTCATTTTCACACAGATTTGCACATGAACTGTAACATAATGGTATTTTTAAAATGGAAGGACATTCCCACTTCTACACTAAGAGATACTGCTGCTTCCAGATTCAGTTTCACCTCTGATGGAAAGGAAGAAGCACCAATACATTATGATACACACTTCCACTCTAAGGGGCTGCCTGCATTTCTAGCACATGCTGCTTTTTTTTCTCAGATTTATGCACTACTTTGATTTCCCCCAGATCCTTTTGCTTGAAGTCGACAGAAATCTGCTTTGAATGAAATTTCTATTTCCTCCTTGTAGCTCTATTAAAACACCTCATTAAAAAACAGAAGTGATGATAGAGACTGGAGGATTATCTTTATGAGCATCTCAATTATAAACAAAACCAACGTATGCTCTCAGACTGACTTCCAGTAGTAGCAGAAGTAATTGTATGCCTAGATCCAGACCTTTTTTTTTTTTCCTATTCAAAAGAAATAAGCTTTAAAATCAGCATATTTCCACCAAATATCTGAGGGCAGACAAAACATTTCAAGTGTACATCAAGTTACACCTGAAAATAAAGAACATCTTAATGTTTTTGTGATTTTAAAGTTTCGTTTTGAGTAAGATGTTATCAGTTTCCATCATACAATGCACACACCGCTCTGCAGTAAGCATCAGTTTATGTGAATGGCTGTAAGAAGTCTGTAAGAAATATTGTGCATTAGGACTGAGAAATAAACCCAAACCTGCGTAAGTGAGCAGTATTAACTGTTCAAACATCTCTAAAAAACATGGAAAGGTGCTCTCTCAATGAAAGATTTTCCTCTAAAACTCATTAGGCAAACAAGAGAAAGCCTCTATTCTAGCGGCCTTGTTTAGCATTGCATTTCCTGGGATAACAGCCCACGAGACAAAGAGGAACAAAGAGCACTCAGAGTGGGGGCATGTTGGTTTCTTCTAGGCTTTGGCTGAAGCTTTTCTTCTGTCACATAACAGTCCCCAAAGGTCAGAGAAGGAGCAAAACTGTTAGTGGAGCTGCAACCTTGATTTGCATTTACTTGATTTGCATTTGGGCACATTCACATTTTAAATCAAATAATCATTAATGCTTCTCAGAGGTTGTGCACACTCAAAATAAGTTCCTTTGACTTCACTTCCATAACAGTGGATTTAAGCTTCAGTCCTATGCTGAGACATCTGAACTGCTGTCTTTTATGATTATGGTTCGGTCCTGCCTCATGTGGAAACAGGGAAGGAAGGGAGACAGAGAGACTGTCTGTCTTTGCACTAAGAAAATTTTCTCTCAAATGATATATAGAGATGGTTGAAAGCTGAACTGGAATAACAGTCCTTCAAAATCTGACTAACACATCCTGACAATGACAATATTGACTGTTACGTATGGCAATATATAAATATTGTAATCCTTCCATCCAAACCTCTATTTGGATTAAATATTTAATGCTATTTGCAGCAAATGTTAGCTTACAGAGAGACAGTATGCACAGGGGAATAGCAAACTGTATGTGACACCATTACAATGCAAGGGGCAGCCTTGCTGGCAGAGAACACAAAAATCTCTTTCTTCTCCAAACTCTGTTTTGAGAAAGACAGACAGTGGGGTTGCACAAAATAAATACTACTTTGTAAATCAGAACTTGCAAATCGCTTCTCTGAACCTACATCCCTTGCTCTAAAATGGAAATGACATCTACTGTACAATAATACTGGAAGCAGTTGGAAACATATCAGTACCACAAAAAGGAACAACCACTTCACGTGAACTGGGATCCATGAGTGCATGAAACTGGTGACCCCTCCTTCCTCCTCCTGGATTTGTGTACAATGTCACATATCCAAACAAGTTCCAGATCCAGAAGCTTTGTGAAGAGACTGATAACAGAACATTAAGAGACAGGTTTACTGCCCGGGCACCCAGCCAAGCAGTTGCATATTCCCAGCCACAGACAACAGGGAGAGCAGAGCCCCTGTTGCACACTAACAGGATTACAGCTCAGAGATAACCATCTTTCATCTTCGTGTGACCCCCAGGAAGTTTTGGCCCTGGTTGTGAGGACCTGTTTCAGTTTCCTACCACCAGCAAATGCTGCCTACCCAACAGTGCAGCTTCCTGCCCATGATGCAACACGTAGGCACCTCAGCATTAAACCACTGTTGACAGCTGAGAGAAGTATGTCCTTTACCTGCTGCCCAGTCACCTGGAGTCACTGCTGAGATGAGAGATAAAACATTTGTCACTTTTCTTCCCTAAGCCTGATCTCCTCTGAGATGTTACATAACCACATGAAATGTGTTGCAAGCAGCGAGACCAACCAGATGAGAAGTTCTTCCTCTCTGACTCATTCTTTGCAACAAAACTACAGTCACTCTCACAGCACCTCAGACTTGCCAGGAAGTGGAAAACACACATCCCTATCCAGCAAAAAGTGGTTTCAGTGTGAAATGCTGCACTTCTGCATAATATCCAGCTCCCTGTGTGTGTCCTGATGGTGTCTGATCTGAGCAATCAGAACTGAAAACCATCCCTGTGAGACAAAGCAGAAGCTGATTGTTACAGCTGGCAGAAGGCAGCAGATCTCAGTCTTCCCTGACCACACCAATCAAGGAGAAACAGCTGCCATGATTGCGGATTATAACAGTCTGATCAAAGAAATGTGTATGCAGCAGCTGGGCCTACTGGAGAAACTACACTGGGCTCTTTTGTATGAGTTCCCTACATCTTAGCTAATAATGCTCTGTGCTTTTTGAAATTAAAAACCTGCGTGACTAACCAGCATTAATTGTTCAATATCTTTTAAACATGAAAGAGCATTCTTGGTTAACAAAAGTAGATTTTTCTCTAAAATGCATTTATCAAATAAAAGGAAGGCTTCATTCTAAAAGCAGATTTTGAGATACACAATTAAAAGCATCAATTCAAATTTAATAGCAAACCCAGCCAGCTCTGCAGTATTAAACCACTGTTTTTATAATAAATCAGAAGTTACACCAAAGAAGGAGATAGCAGCTTCTGAAAATGAAGGAAGATGAGACAACTAATGCAAAGAAGCGACATCATTTTGCATCTGTTTTCACTGAACACCATTTGAGTATCTCACACAAAGAAATAAAATGAAAATCCAAGGTTCACAGTTTCAACAGACACATTTGCACCGAGGAATTCAAGGGCAGCCAAGCACAGCTGTACCTGCTCCAACACACTGAGGCAATGCTTACAGAGCTGCTGAGCAGCTAACGAAGGGCAGCACCTACCAAGGAAGGTGATGGCCAGTGAGAGAAGAAATGACACTGCCTGCACAGCATGCTGTAGCTACCTACTGTACCATTTCTTCCTTGGGTAAGTAGATGCTTAATGTCAGGGGAAACGTACTGCAATAGCAGCATAGAAGTGGCCCTTCCTCCAGCAGTACTGCTAACAGTACCATGCCCAGTGCAGACTTATGGCACTGTGGGGTGGTGCTGCTTTTGTGGCTATACTGTTTTCGGAGCTGTTTCCATGACAACTTTATTATTTTAACATTATCCTTGTACTTCATACTTATTGTGGTTCTTCTGCTTCCCCCACTGTTGGTTTCTGAGGATTCCAGAAGTTATTTTTGTGCGTGGTATGAGATATAATTTTTATGTTTAACCTCATGATTTTCCCTGTGTATTTTCATTAACTCTGTGGCATTTCACATAAGAGCTAAGCAGAGTTTGCATCCAGGTCCATATATCATTTCCCTGAAAGCGGAAGGAATATTTCTAAGCATATCTGTGAGACAACCAGGGCTGAATTGAGGTGCAAAATAGCTGAAATGGTTCTTTACAGACAGCTTCACAGT